TTAGAGCTTTTATTTTTGATATCCAAACAGTCTCATAACATTTTCAAAGTAATTATACTTTTAACCCTTAGATGGCAGTACTGTTGAATGGTGTTGTTCTGAGTCCAAGTTATGACGTATAAGGAAATACAAACGTTATATTTACATAGTGTTGTTCTGCTATTTCACTGTTTTTGTTATGTTGGAAAGGACTTGTTTTGACTCAAAAATACAGGAATAATTGTATGCAATTAACTTAAAAGTACATTGCAATATAAGAAAACGTAGCAAAGTAAATGTGTACATAACAGACGTATAAAAATCAGGTTATGAGCTATGATTTTAGCTATGTTTCTATTGTTCCAAAAGTTATCCTTTTATTCCTAGCTTAGACTGGATTTTAAAAAATCTTACTGTCTCCCGTACAGTGTAAATATTAAAAAAAATATTTTTATTCCTAGCCTAGACTGGATTTTAAAAAATCTTACTGTCTCCCGTACAGTGTAAATATTAAAAACAAATATTTTTATTCCTAGCCTAGACTGGATTTTAAAAAAATCTTACTGTCTCCCGTACAGTGTAAATATTATAAAAAAATATTTTTATTCCTAGCCTAAAGACTGGATTTTAAAAAAATCTTACCACCTTTGAGGGACAATAGAAGTCTATGGACTTACAACGCTAAAATCCGGGATTCGATTCCCCGCGGTGGCTTTGCTCTAAAACAATCTCTATTACAGAGTAGACTGGAGAAACAAATCCCCCTGCCTCTGGCTGGAGTAATTCGACAAAAAAAAAAAAGGTAACCAAACTTTAATATGTTTGTCTACTATAAATTTAAAAACATAACAACTAAATAATACACCAGTTTACAGTTCTGGAACTCCGAGCGGCGGCTATAGCTTTAAGTTAACCTTTGTTTGTACTGGTAATTAAAGCAGGTATAATTAACACCCTTAACACTGTTTTTCAAGCTCATTGTTGTAATAAAGACGATGATTAACGGTAACAACACCAATGAACAATGTGTTGTTGAAATGGTCAAGTTGATAAATAATGTTTCAGATTACAGCAAATTCAATATTCGATATTTGAGGAATTAAAACGAATTTTTTTTTGTTTGTTTCAAGCACAAAGCTACACAATGGGAACTGGCTACCACAGGGATCGAAGCTCGATTTTTAGCCTTATAAGCCCGCAGACTTGTCATTGACACACCAGTGGGCTAATCTGAAATAAAGTACTCAAGCAAAAGAAGCTTTAAAAAGCTGTAATACGTAAGATAGGCTTTCATTTTGCTGTGTCTAGAGCAGGGATTGAATCCCGAATTTTAGCGTTATAAGTTCTCAAGCTAGTTTGTTTCAATTCGAATTTTATAAGTTTACTTACACGCCAGAAGAGGCCCGGCATGGCCATGCGGTTAGTGTGCTCGACTCACAATCTGAGGGTTGCGGGTTCGAATCCCCGTCCCACCAAACATGCTCGCCCTATCAGCCGTGGGGGAGTTATAATGTGACGATCAATCCCACTATTCGTTGGTAAAAGAGTAGCCTAAGAGTTGGCGGTGGCTGGTGATGACTAGCTGCCTTCCCTCTAATCTTAAACTGCTAAATTAGGGACGGCTAGCGCAGATAGCCCTCGCGTAGCTTTGCGCGAAATTCAAAACAAACAAACAAACACGCCAGAAGAGTTTAATACTGGCCAAATCTCGGGCTCTACTCCTTCTAATTGTGAAGTCCCATCGCAGCACTTTTGTCAGTGCGCAGACCAGGAAGCATTGCGTCGTCGTTAATTCCAAACCAACGACCACAAGGTTCAGACACTTTTACTTTGTACTTTATTGTGTATCAGTTATTTTCTTATTATAATTATTTTTATTTTAAACATCAGGTACCCAACGTAAATGAACTGGTTGTATTATTAGTTGTTACACTACTATTTTACGCTGGGCAAGATTGGCCCTGGCTCTGTTTCCTCCAGTGTTTTTCTTGGTTTTAATACCCAATTCAACTTGATTTAAAACTTGAATTGTACTATAAACTATACTGCCCCCCAGTGGCACAGCGGTATGCCTGCGGAC